TTTAAATTCCCGTGCATGCCAAGTGTTTAAAGACCGTTTTTTTGTATCCATGGATAGGGCGGAACTTAGTATTCTAATTTGGCAGAATATTCTAGTTGACCAACTGTCAATCATTCAATATCCACAGTAACTTAAAGCGCGGTGGTCGTCGCGCAGCGTGTTTGAATTTCATGTAAATAAACAATGTATTTTACACGCGTTGTATACGTCGCTATGAGTCCCATATCGAAAAGGACGCGGTGCGACGACTGCCGCCCTTTAAACTCTGATCATGGTCATTTTCGTAACTCGGTGTTCGTAAGTCGAACAATTCAGCATCTCTTTCTGGACATGTGTTATTGTTTATTATAATTACAATTTAAATTAACTTATTAAATCAATCTTTTTAGTTTAATTTTATAGTTTAATCCCAGGTCTTTAAATAACGCCCATTGGGGATGGGTTTGATCTAACATGTACACGATGCTGACCGACGGCATTATTGGCATTAATCAAAGCACATTCACATTTAGGTGGGTTTTCACTGCTTCCAACATTAGTTGAAAAATTGCTCCTTTTTATAAGATAATCACAACAAATAATATTTGTTTGTCTTTATGCACGAAAATGTGTTGAAAAGTAGTAAGACACGTGACCGAATGCAATCACATCTATGATCTATCCGACGTAAACACACGATTTTGTTGAAATATAAACAAACATGGGGAAAATAACACATCTAATTGTACTTTGTATTCGCGTTGGTGGTTATGGACGGCTAGATGTGTAATAGAATTTTGTGTACAGTTAAATTTATTTTATAGTACTGTAAAATGACTAATTTTCACTGGGTTTAAATTTCACTGATTTACCATTTCAGGCATATTCAGTGGGTTTTAAATTCACGGTTTTGGCATTTAGATAATGTGTTCTATGCTAAATTTTACATATTCACTGTGTTATAATTTAGCGCATTTTTCCAGTCAGCGAAATAAGCTAAACTAAAACCCAGTGAATAATTACCCCCTTTACAGTATTCTATTTGACGCCATCAACGGCGGTAACAATACAATCTGGGTAATCATTTTTAATTGACCCCGTGGTCTCGCGAGAATTGCATTATCAGTTGATGTTTTCTATTTTACATTTTTAACCGATCAACTTTGCTCATCTTCATCTTTGGAATCTTGAACTGCAAGTGAAAGGGAACGTATATATTTAAAATAATAGAATCATGTGACAGATAAAATAAACTCAATACAAGATTAAACTTTCATTAAAACTGCCATTATTAAAGACGCAATATTATTTTATATTTCGTTGTGTAGCATGAAAATGTACCTATACTGATCTACTTGATGACGTGCAATTAGTGATTCTGCGACACGCTTATCGAAATACCTGAAACGTAAAAACAGTTAAATTCATTTTCACATACGCGCTTGAAACATGATAAAGTTCTACACATGGAATTCAATAGCAAACAAGAAGTCGACAGAAAACTGTGGCGATGCATTATTTATACAATCAGAGAGTATGTCAGTGTGTTATCAGCAATAACCCAAATAATTAGGATTATGTAACATCATTTATCGATGGTGCTGTCTTCAAATGCAATGTCAATATTTATCTCAGATTTTTCATGGCAATGAAATATTGGTCCACGCGTACATGTAACACCAGCAATAAAACAGTTCATTGGTCGGCTGCCATTTTGTTTTTACCCATGATGCAATGGGAGGTAAAACACTTTTTAGCCTGTTTTCGGCGTATCACACATATTTACTTAAGATGTGTGTAGGTTTTAAAAGAAAAAGCAAGTTTTTATGCTTTCTCTCCATAAATTAGACATAGTTCTACACAATTCTGTCCAAACTGCATAAAAGACATTTGGAGACACATGTATCAGTATTTGGCTGTGTAATGCACATATAGACTAGAAAATAAAGAAATCTGAAGGTATTATAGCGGCACATAAATCAGAAATAAGGTACTCAATCAGTATTTTAAACAAGAAGTCAGGTGACTAATATAGCTCTATATATACTATATAAATTGCTCAATATCCCCAGAGCATCTATGTACAAATTTTAATTGAATTATGTTTAATGTTATGTTTGTTTAAAAAAAGTTTAAAATTTGTTGAATAATATGCATATATGGCAACAAAAAGTAATCAGCTTTGCATATTATCACAGAATATCTATGTACCTAGTTTCATTGAAGTCCGTACGATGGTTCTTGAGAAACAAGTAAAGAAATGCATAACATTGGTTAATTAGTATGCAAATTAGCTAATTATTATGCACTTATTCCAATCAAACTAATCATGTCTGCGCATTATTCAAGACCATCTATGTCACAAGGTTCATTGAAATGTGTTTGGTAGTTTTTGTGTGACACAATGAAAACAGCAGCACAACAGCTTAACAGTGTTAAACGCTGTACCACGTATACTTTGACCTTCCGTTGCATCAAGGGTAAAAACGAGATGACAGACTAACAGTAAACTGGCTTATTTAACATAACTACAATCAGTAGTCGTGGTGACTATGTCCGTTCTATATGAACTACATAATATAGTATACTGTAGCAATGTGTATGAAAGTGGGTTCAATGTGTTCTGTTACAGACAATTCGGGAACAATCAAATGCATAACGGCCATGACACAAGCACCCGTATCGACAAATGTTTATAATACATTCGCAATACAATTTACAGTTCTTGCAATTCAAGCTTCTGTGTTGTCTGTTCAATATGACCTTTTAATGTGACCTTTTATTTCAAAATTATGTTCCACACCTTTTGCTCTCAAAGTTGTGTTTAATCTCCTTTTTAAGTAAAGTGTAATGTCTCCAGTGTGCATTTATCGCATTTATTTGACAACCAATGTGCCATATTTAAAGAGCGATTTTTTGTTTAACGGGAATAACTTGTGAATGTGGTAATCTATGTTTAATTGAAAACTGCCCTGTGGATTGGCATGACTCCTAAAGGTCATGCATTCTAGTCATAATATACAAATTAATAAAAAGATTATTATATTATACAATTCTAATAGTATAAATCAATTTTTCTCGTGTTAAATTGTTTTATAGCTTGATTTACAACTGATTTCATTTATGGGGATAGTTGATGTATGACCATGGTGTATGACTTTAAGAATTTATACCAGGGTGTATGAAGTTCAGGGGTCAAGCATACCAGGATGTATGACCTTCACGGGTCAAGCATACCAGGATGTATGACCTTCATGGGTCAAGCATGATTCCTATTGTGCTGTATAAACAAAAGATATGTTGCAATCAATAAGAACTCTTACTTTTCCACCATGTGGGAAAATTACTGTCCAGGTATTTAATGTTTAACATAATAATGAGTTTGCCCGAAAGATATAAACATAAAACACGACAAATGGAAATTCCAATTAGGTACTTTTATGGTATTTTATGGTATCGTATTCACCTGTGAGACACAGTCATGCGAATGCGTGTTCTGACACGTAAACACCTTTCAGTTCACGACATGACCCGGGGCACGTTGAATATGTCTGGGTCACCCACTCACTTCTATTGTGGATACAATACAATGTCCACTGCCGTATGTGTTATATTTATATCACTAAGGGATGATTCACCAACCCTTAGATAAATAATGATAGAGGCCATAATGTTAACACATTGGATAGCATACATTTCTATAGCAACCAATGTGCTTACAGTATAATAAAATACACTGACAGTTTAAATGCATAATAAAAATTCCACGTGTACCATAATGTACCATAATGTGCTTCTTCAACGTTCTGATCTTAACACACACCAATTCACAGGACTGTTATGTACTCAACTCGAGGCAGATGGCGTTATTCTAGAGTAAATAAGTTTCTGCATTGGTACATGTAATTGATTTCAATTCAAACACATGTTCCTATATTATTGCACGGCGAAATAAGAAGATTTGCATAGTAATCGCTTTTCTTGGTGTACTCCCTGAGTTCAGTCTCTGACATGGAACCTGCAAGCAATCAAGAACAAATGAAACAATAACAGAATTATCCCTTCTATTCACATCTTTAATTCAACAAAAAACAGAAAGTGACCATGGACACCCTCCAGTCCAGCCATACAAAAATACAGGAGTGACATGAAGAATCTAGGCAAGGCCGAGTTACCAGAAACACTATATTTTTCAATTTGGCCTTATCATACTTACTTTTTATCTCGCCGTATTGTTCAGATTTGTTCTCCAATAATTTCTTGTTTTCCTCCAAGTATTTTAGCTATTAAAAACAAAAAGAAGGTTATTTATTCATTTATTCGGTTGATCAACAGCAATTAATTCCCCAATTACAGGTTCCGCAACAAACAAACAAACAACCTAACCAGACGAACAACTAATACTACTTAAAATAGAACAACAATTAATTAATAAGACTATAATTCTATAAAAATAATTCAGCAATGTAGATTTTAATTTCCTAAAACTAATACATATCTATATTAAAATCCTGTTTCGATATTTCATTAAACAATTACAACGCTCGTAGATGCAACCTTGCCAATCAAAACATTTTGCTGGGAATTCCAAATAATAGAACTTACTACGTATCAATGTAATATATAATGATTTTAAAGAGTGAATACTAGTAAAATCCGCACAATGGTGTTTTAAAATATCAAGCATCCTCATCGCTTTTTTTACAATGTGGAGAACATGAGCTGAACAGTTTAATAAAGTGAAGCCCACTCGACACCCAGATACTTTACTAATGTGACACGGTTAATTAGTACATACTGTATTGAATAATTTGAAAGAATTTTGCTAATATTACAAGTAAAAGGAATGACACAACACTTTTTAGTGTTAAGTTTAAGTTACCATTGTGTACATCAGGCAACAACACCATTTAAATCCCTTTGCAACAAAATATAATCTGAAAAAGAACCAACAGACTTATTGATAACAAGTATTAATAATAAAAAGTTAAAAATATTAATAACAAACTGGAAATGTTTACCTCATCATCGTGTGATCCCCCAACACATGGAAGACTCCTACTACTGTCTAAATAGTCATAGTAATCATAAAAACCCAAATTTTCAGGACCAGACCTGAAATACTTCACTACATCCTTGCTCACCCAGTGCAGAATAGCGTCATCAGCTTGGTAAACATTACCATTGTCATCCAACAAGACAAAGTACTCAGAGTCAATCATGTGAAGATATCCCAGCATATGAAGTGGTTTGCCAACGTACACTTTTTCAAAGTCCCACGCTATTGTTTCTAATGCATCTGGAAGTCCCGTGTGTACAAACAGTGTGTTTCCACCAACACATATGGTTTTACCAGTGTATTCCTCAATGACCTCATCGACAGCTGTTGGTGACGGAGCAGTTTTTAACTTATTACTGAATTTATCAGCAAGGCTTTCTATCGACAATCTCTCGAGAGGCTGACATATATAAAGTGGTCCATGCGAAGTAGTCTCCGTTACGCTATCAGTAGCGAGGCCACCTGACGGTAAATTACTTAATTTCGCCATATCGAAGCTAGTTATTAAGAGCAAAAAGCCGTTCTTTCACAGTTCTGAATTCTATCCGAAAATATAAATAAAAAAAAGTTAAAATCAAAAAGGACCACACAAAACTACTTCTCACGTTCAAATACGTTGATAACAGTCATTTAAACTTGGAGTGAGTGGCAGACAGTCGTCCCAAGATTATTCGCTTCAGACAATCAGATATCCAACGTCGATGGTTTTGTTGCAAAAATACATAGAATCCTGCAGGTACATTTAAATTTAAACTTCCCTTTATTCAATGCACAATCAGCTGCAATAAATAAACTAACCAACATTCTAATACAAATGTTAGTTATCGATGGTTGACAAAACACGAACTAGTGGTATTGAACTAATAGTGACTTGGTAAACTCAGAGTAGACCGGCCACGTCCTAGCAATTTGTTTGTTGACATGTGATATTTTTTATATCGAATCTGTAAATCTCTGGTTCTGACGAAAAATGATTATCAGAAAAACAATCCCAATTACCATAAAAAAAAACAATAAAATAGGTAGGTAGACGCTTGTTTGTATCAAAGACACACTTGGGCGCCTGTAGTGGTTCACCAAAGGTATATTATACATAAAATATCTAATCAGTCGGACTGTCGGAAATATTCAAAATCAAATATATCCTGTCTTTTCCAAAAATTACAAAATAAATAATTTAAGCAAAAAAAATACATTTTGTCTTGGCCAATTTACATAATATTCGGCGGATCAACGTATTATGAACACATTTCTACGCACTCCTTAGGTCAAAAGTTTCACTATTTTTTTTTAGAAAAATTCGATCTCGGACAGACGACCTGTATAGACCGGGACTTGAAGCCCATTGTACGTCATATTGAAAACATTAAATCCATGGATCTCGTCAATTGTTAAAAGATTTACATCGCATAAATGTTTTGTTTGTTTGGGTGGGGTTACAATTTATTTCCAATTTTACGATTGTCAATGTAGCGTGTAACATGTTTAGGATTCTCTTTTGTGTTTGTACAGTAAATCTCCGGTCCAATACATTATCTGCGATTCCGAGTTCGATTCTGAAAAGTTGTTTAACATCTAACGATCACGAGAAAGATTGTAACATTTGCACAAGGAAAAAAGGGCGGATGTACGAGATTTTAAAATGTGGCTGAATCGCGAGACTTACTTACGAGACGCGAGACTTGACAGGCTTAACTGTATAACAGCTTTGAAGCATCGAACACAACACTGACGTGAAATATATCTGTAGTGAATACTGACGTCTTCTCCCAGTATTGCTATAATGTACTCTGTCAAACTATTCCGTTATTAATCCAAGGAAAATTGAGTCTTTTATAGAATCCACAAATGAGGAAATTCAATGAAAGCGTACTTACCGTACGTGTCAACAAAACTATTTTTGCCCAGGACATGCGCAGAGTATACAGACAGGGAACTTCCATTTAGATAGTACGGGTGGGTGAATTTGCAGAAAAATATCAATAAATAAAACAGGCAGACATTTACAATTTAACTGAATATATACAATTATTTTATCATTGCCATTCCACTAAATGACGCAAAGACGTGTGTTTTTACATTATAAGGAATTATACAATTCCCCTCGTATTATATCTTTGTTATTTTCAATACTGGTAAGACACTATAAAACGTTTAGTATGTATACATTCAACGTTAAATATTGTACACACAAAATCACAGAAATGTGCAAAGTTAGAGTACATGTTTTAGTAATATTCTTTACTATTGTAACCATAAAATTACACATAATTATGTAAAATGGAATATCATCACACACATTTGCGTTTATTTTGTACCGATGAACGAACTACCCTTATGAGATATTTATTATCAGCACACTTCCCTTTTTGCACACGACACCCTGTTACTGGCTCGCGAGCTGTCGTCTGAATATCTGGACAGCCTATGACGTAGGCGATAACTGCAAATTCGTAGAATTGACGAGTCAATAAACAGGGAGTGCCGGTAATGTGACCGTCTTTCATAAGCATTGTACAATTTAGTCACACAAGTAACCTGTGATTGGTTCAACTATCTGAGCTAATACGAGTATGGCTAGTTACTCTTACAAGGAAAGACATTTCAACTACGAACGAGGGATTGCACATTTGTGCGTTGAGAGGTTCATGGTCGTCTTATATGACGACATTCTGCCGTTGTACGAAAGACTCAGCCAGGAATCACGTGAACAGATCACGTCCCTTACGATAGAGGTTAGTCTGTGTGCTTAGAATAACGAACGCCAGTCCCTCAATATGCGACCGACAAATGTTGTTCATATACTATTTATTATCGATAATATCTGTTTGTCATCAATCTACGTGAACGAATCAGCAATTATATTATCAACCTTGTTTCTGTCCCACTGCATCGCACCCCCCCCCGTCAGAATTATTTTTAGCAGCCTCCGGGAACACCAGTTATGAATGTAGGTAATTGTTTATTGATTTAAACAGAATATGTCCATATAACACAAAAATACAAATTTTATTAACAATTATGAGCCAACCCTTCCCGTCGTGATTTGTGATGCATAATCAGGCCTCACATACGTTTAATTAAGTATATACGTTGGTAATTTAGAACGCTAGTTTGTTAGGAATCGTAAACAAGCATTTTTATTGCCAATTAACAAACAAGT